TTTGACCAAAGCAATTGGTTGAAATCCTTTAGAATTAGTTTGACATACAGTAAATAGCTAGAAAATATAATATGAGTCAAAAGCATGCAATAGGATAGATCTAAATAAAATACTATTTATCTCTTTTTTCTATTGAAATAAACTGTTTGCAATTATTAAAGCGGGATTTAAAAGTCCCTCACATCACGTGTACAAACTTCCATTTAGAAATAGTAACTGGAAAAGAAAACGACTGTTGATTAAATGAAGTGCAGGATTAATAAAGTTCTTACACTATGTTGGCGTTCCACCAGTGAGGGTTTTCCTCTGGCTGCGGAGACAAAATCCCTCTTCCTGTAAAGCAGGGGTGAAACAGAGTGGGTGGGATGTCTGTTAATAACGTTCTGCTTAGATGTCCAAAATCACTTCAAATAGTTTATTTTAACTCAGAGGTCTGAATGATGCAGTTTTTCTGTTTTTCTGCAGTGCCACAAACAGTTTAAACACACACAGGTGTTTAAATTCAGATTAGGAGGTACTGATCTTCCTTCAACCACTCTGTGAACCTCTCCAGTGATCATCTGAACCCAATCACCCGCCTGGCTGCGCCAACAAATCCTGTCCATAAACGTTACAAACAGAAGCGTTGACAATGTGCCATTCAGTTTACAGTGGAGCAAACTCTTTCAAACTGTAATATCTGATTTAGTTCAAGATACCCTTTTAATGCCTGATTTCATGCTTTGCAACGATGACCTTGCATTTTCTTTTGCTCTAATATTTACAGAATTCAAAAGCATAATAATATCAGTGTTCCCAGTATTACAAATATAGAACAAACAGACAGGTTGTGGTCACAGACACAAGCAATTCTGTTTTGTTCCTTTTGTTTCAAGCATAATTTGTTAAATTAACTTCCAAAAATCTTATTTATGTTTAAAGTATGAGCACTTTATTGACTTTTATCAGAGCCGGCTCTTGGCATAGGCGAACTAGGCGGTCGCCTGGAGCGCCATCTGCTGGAGGGGGTGCCAAACTGCAGAAGAAAAAAAAGTTACAATTTGTAATCCCTGGTTATAACTCTGCTCAGCGGCCCTTTCAATTAGCTTTGTCTTAAAAAACAATAATGAAGTATTACAGGAAAAATAAACTACTCTACCCGTAAAACATTTTCTCCCCCCCAATGCAGCAATCGCGCCCACGATCTCTCTCATTTGATTGACGTTGCACTGACTCATCCTGCTCCGACATTCTGACGGGGGAGGGGCTAGTAGTGCCTCTCAGGTAGCGGTTTGTGTTGACAAACTCAATAACAAGTCTGTATTTTGTTGTTGCAAATAAATCTAAGTTTACCATGGTACCTTACACTGTCAAACCTGCTTTTAGGGGTTCAAAATGGGGTGGGTGGGACATAGTTTGTGTGTGGGGGGGGGTGCTTCAACTCGCCTAGGGCACCAAAATGGCTAGTCAGCATTGCCTTTTGTTCACTGTTTTAACTCAAGCTTCGTTGCTTTAATGTCATGATCAGCGGACTGCTTGTTGTTGCGTGTTTTATGTCGTGTTCACTGTAAAACCAAAAGTCCACTTTGAGGAACAGATGAAGATGAACCGATGCGAGCAAACCCTCTGAACAACCCGTACCTCTTCTGGTTTGTGGCCACTTGGCGGAGCTCATCAGGTTCCTGGTGGTCTCATATCTCCTGTCGCAGGTCTGCTTGTTGAAACAGTACCATCCACCTGATCATTAACACACAAACATGTTAACTGTCCTCACAGGCCTGCAGTGACATCAGGGCAGCTTTATTCTCACCTTCCAGGAAGAGCAGCCACCTCCTGCTGCCTTTAGACTCTTTGATGTAGTACCTGCAATAATAACACATTCGCATAAATCACTGAAAGGGTTTACAAGATGTGGGCTCCAAGAGAAGGACACAACCTCTGATCCTGACATGAGACATTTGTCTCCTTTTCTCTCTACAGTAACATTTGGATGTTCCTGTTCGTTAGTATACATTAAAAATACATTTACTTACAGTAAATATGCCCCTGGGTGACTTTTTTGGTCCTAGGACTGTGTTTTTAAGAAGTACATACCCAAAGTTGAGTAAAAAAAACCTTTAAAAAGTGAATTTTGCATAATAGTTCCCCTTTAAAGGCTTTAATCATATTTAGTTTTTTTCTGTTTGGCAGAACCAAAACTCAACATCTTGGAATGTCATTTGAATTAAATGTTTTCATTATTATTTCTCTTGTTAATATGAAATGTTTAACATATTTCAACATAAATTCAGCTGAAAACAGAACTGAGAGACTTTGTTGAAGTTCATTCACGTCAAACTTCTAATGGAACTCAACAAGGAACTGCACTTTTTTAATATAACCGACTTGCTGACTCAGAAAGTTTCTGCAAATAAATGATGATTCAACTTGAGATGTGATGCTCTGTTTGGATCAACAAGACAAAATAATCAAGTCAAAACAGCTCTTATTACAGGGACAGTGCAATATTAATAACATTTCTGTAAATATGTCATTCTGTTGTGGCACCTCTTTATGTAATTTTATTTAATCAGAATTTAGCGCATTTATTGCCTTTTTTGTTTATTTTATTTAATTTATTTTCCTATTGTTTTTTCTCACTTGTCCCTTGCGACGAAATTTTTCAAACATTTGAAGAGTTTTTTCCCCCTTTAATCTATTCTTACTGGTTCATGCTGTTAAAAGGATTTAGAGCTTCATCACTGCGCCCATAAAAGTCCCTCCTCATAAGGGTCTCTCCTCTGATCTGCTGCTTTGATCCATTTTGGTCACATCCGGAGTGACAGCGGAATGAGGGTCAGGGAAACTAAAAGCGCCACCAGATTAAAGTTTGGAGCGACGAAGCGCAGCTGTCTCTTTGTTGCCCTCATAGCTCAGATTCTTCACACGGCCTGTAAGAAGCTCCGGGAGCGCACACTCACCCCGCAGGTGACCCGTCGTTGCAAGTCGCTGACGCGTTCTTCGTGAAGTGCAGCTTCATGTCTTGTTCCAGCTTTTGCGCAGAGCACGGGTACAGAGACTGCGCCAAGTTCTTGATCTGCACCATGAAGCTGTCCATGTTGCTCTCCACGGCGGTGAAGTCTAACGGGAAGCTCTCCGGTCCTTCCACGCGCTCCCGGGCCGCTGGAGCCTGCTGCTGCGTCCGCCGGGGCTGCGTCCGGCCGCTGCGCGCTCTCCTCGCTTCCACCGGTGAGCTCAGCTGGACGAGCAGCAGCAGCAGCAGACAGGTGCGCCACATCGTTCACAATAACTGGGAAACGCGCGTGCGAGGGATCTGAATCAAACTCAGCATGTCCTAAAAGAAGATGGAGAGACGGAGTCCTGCTGAAGGCGCGTGGAGACTTTCTGGAAGCTCACTTACGGTGGGCTGAATGAGCGGAGATTAAGGATCCTCATTGTGCCGCTAAAGATGAGCAACAAACTGGTCTCAAACTCAGGCTTTGTGCCGGTTTCTGATCAGTTAATCCATCGCGCGCGCGTCTTTACGCGCAGACAATCCAGTCAGATTTCAGACAGCGCGCCTTTCATCCCTCTGGTTCCAGGTTCTCATGATCTTTGGGAGTGAAGTGAGAATTTATTTGAAGTCACCCCCACCTCCCCGCATCTCACTCCAGCCAGCCAATCACGTTATAGTTGGCTGATGCGCCTCGCGGGGCGTCAAGCCTCGGTTCAGTCCACCCGGGGCGCGCGTACGCCTGGCACGCCCACTCACTGCATCCCTTTGATGTCGTCTCATCATTTGACCACACAGCCTTTGAAGTGTGTGTGTGTGTGTGTGTGTGTGTGTGTGTGTGTGTGTGTGTGTGTGTGTGTGTGTGTG